TCAGTGATACTCCTTGAATCAATGCGCGTTTCCTTCTCCTCCCGAGAGACTTAATAGCTCGCTGCAGTGCCGCAGTGAACTACATTGGCGATATTTTGTGCGTTTGTTGAACCCGTCTTTCTATGGACTTGTGAGAGGTGGATGAAAAGCTGTATATTTGCGTTGAACTGTGCTGTACTGTTCTAATAACAGTCGACCAGTGTTCGTATATAAGACGGCGAAGATAGAATTGCATTTGTTTCGATGCTGTCAAACGCTTTCTCTCCTAGTCAATAAAAGTAAAGATGAGCAGCAGATAGTACATTCGACAGACGATGAGAAGGGCCCCCATCCAACCTATGTCTGAATCGACTCTATGGAAGGATTAGGCGAAAGTTCAGTCCAGAATCCAGTTACCACTTTTTCAGTTTCAGAGAGGCACATTTCCTGTTCGCGAGAATATTATCGATCCCCGCTTGAGTTGTGCCGTTGGGAAGAGTCCCACGTCCGTCAAAAATTTTGTTTCTTCCCGAAAAATGAACTCCCATGAAAGAGAAATGTTACGTACAGTCAGTAGTCCTATAAGACGGTTTTCATTCTCACTCCGTTCTCTTATTCCAAATTTGCTTATTCTGTATTCAATTTCGTCGGCCGCTTCTAACCTGGCACTGAAGTCACTACAGTGAATTTATAAAAACACTGACTTCTTGTTGCGGATTACTCCATGATTGTAGAACTCGTCCAATTCGCTCCCATCATCTGTACAAATTAGTGAGCAACACTTGGTGGTGTCGACTTTCCTTTGACACCCAACTGGAGAGAAGGAACGAACACTCGCGCTTATATGATTTTGTATGAGGTTACTAGATAGATTGGGTGTGCGATAAAGCGAACATATCCGACACTCTGTGACTGGAATTTACCTCAACAAATGAAAAAAGTCCCGTTATCAAACTGGAGCAGGTCAACCTTTCTGCTTTTCTTTTCTCGTAGTGCGATCATCTTCCAACGGTTTACCGCCTCATAGTGGCTGGGAAGTGTTCTTGGGCATCGGACTGCGATATAAAGCGGTGGAGTCATCCCCTGGCAGGATCTCCCAAGATGAGGAGTCCGGAGTTTCCATCAGGAAGCCTAGCTAAGAGCGAACCAGGACCAGGATCCACCACCGCTCAGGTATCAAAGTCGCATGATGGCCAATCTCCCTGTGATCCATAAGAGTTGCGATTGCCTGTCGTGGTGAAGAACTGGGGCGTACTTCGGCTAGGCTGACCTCGGAATTTCAAAGAACCACAATGGCATAACCAGCAAATCTCCGAAATATGGAAATTATGCTGGCGCCCACACGACCAGTGAGGAGGGCCATTCAAATATTCAAGTAAGTAATGCGATCAAACGGAAATGTCGAAATCTGAGAATACTGTTCTTGTGTTATAAACGTACGACAAGAAGCACTTTCGAAGGCGTGTCGTGGGCGTGTTCGCCTCGTCCGTTTACAGGTCTCGTGTGCAAACCGAGACTTTATCGCCCCTCACCAGTGGTCTCAACGTCCAATGTCGAAGACGGAGGAAGCTAATGTGCGACTGCTGAGGTCGGAAATTTGCTGATTTAGCCAATATGGTTTTTTGGAGTCTCGTGGTCAGCCTAGTCAGAACCTTTCTCGTGTTGCCACCACTACTGGCCGTCGTCGGCACTGGTGGATCAGAGGGAGATTTCCAGCTTGCGACTAGTTTTCTACCAGGACGGTGGTGATGTGGGGTTTTGTTTTGCTCTTAGATGGGTTTCCGGACCGAAACAGACTTTTTCTCAGCTTGAGAGATCTTCTTGAGGAATAAATTCTCTGCAGTACATCGTAGACCGGGCGCATTGGAGGGGCCGCAGCGACACACACGTGGAATCGATCCCCGCGCCCGTGGCTCACCAAGCGTTCCGTCCCTCCGGGGTCGGCAAATTGCTACCAAACTAGTGTGGGAGGCTAGCAGCACTGGCTCAATACATCGAAAAATCAAGCAGGTTTATCTCAGCGGTGTTTTATTTTCCTCACAAACATTTCCAGGATGAAATCGAAACTGATCTGCGTTCGATTTCAAAAGAAAGCAATCCACTTAAGAAAGTGTGCGTTTCTAAATCCTCAATCTAACTTTCCGACTATGGACAGAATTCATAACGGTAAATGCTTGCAGTCATGAAGAGAAACAGAAAGGAATGTGAAGGAAAAACAGAGCAACACGTGGCAGGCGTTGGTGAAAAAGTCAAGGATCTTTCAATCTATGTGCGTACCATTTGCTGATTTCACAAAGCACTGATTGCATCATTATGTTTTTCCTTCGAATTTGACTACTCCTTTTCAAAATAGATTTATATTTGTTCATTGTCTTTCCTTGTAGCGCATGGATAAAATGGCACTTCAGCAGGAACACGTCGAAATCAGAAACCACGAAAAAGGAATGAAAATAATAAAGTGATTTCCATTAAGCTCGATAAAAATGCATACCATACAAAACAGACAGCCGTTCTGAGGTGAACGGGCCGAATCAGAAAACGAAAGTTGACGATGTACAATGTTGTTCATCCCATCTATAGCCCGCACTCGAATACATATACATACATATATATATATACATATTTATCTACATATATATATGCATATATATACATAGCAGTTGTTAGTGGAAAGCTTTCTCCTCGAGTCAGTTCTCGCAACCGAACATTCAGTGGCTTCAAGTAGAATGCTCGGCTTCGTGGGAAGTTGCCATGGTGAACTTATTTGTAGTTATCCCAGAGCAATACCTTAAGCTTGGGTTATGAAACCATTTTCAGCAGTAATAACGAAATAATAACGATATATGAACATCGGTACAATACAGGCAGAAAAGTGGTATCACTTGACACTTCAACGCCCGTTCTCACTGGTTGTGCGGGCCTCAGCATAATCACCATTTATCGGAGATTTGCTCATTGTGGTTCTCTGGAATTCTGCGGTCAGCATGGCCAAATTCTGCCTCAGGTCTTCAACACCACGGCCAGTCACATCCCTTGTGGATCAGAGGGAGATTTGTCACCATGCGATTTTGATAGCAGGACTGTGGCGGATCCAGGTAATGGTTTACTCTTAGCTAGGCTTCCTGTTGGAAACGCCGGACTCCTCAACTTGAGAGACCCTGCCGAGGGACGAATCACCCCGCTGCACATCGCAGTCCGACGCCCAGGAACACCTCCCAGCCACGATGAGGCAGTAAACCGGCTTTTCGAAACGACTTCATGCCCTTCTTACTATTGTACGCGTGAAATCTTCGAACAGAAGTAGCACATAAACTTCTGATTGTAAGAGGTTTAAATAAGAATTGCTGTTTGTGGCAAGGAAAGTTTCTCCGAATGAAATGATAGCGTTTATATATTGCAAGATTGCAAAGCGATGTGATGAGCAGCGAATGTGGTCACTGTAGGAACATGCGCTAAACTGAGAGAATAGCAACCATTCTTGCAATAGCTGCTGTGATATACACATATATATAATCAATATTTGTTTATACTGTTGACCTTACACGAGGTTGATATGAGATGTTTATTCGTTCCGACGTCTTCGTCTTCATCAGAGCCAACGATCCTTGTCGATAGTCCACAGTTGTTCCCCTTCTCGATGTGGCGTCTTCGTCCCGTATCGAACCGGTTCTTCCTCAATTGAACATCTCGAAAAGGCCGTTCTCACCAGGCGACGCTCTTTTATACAAGGCAGTTGTTGTTGATATGACTATCAGCTGATGATAATTTGTTTTTCAACTGGCAATATATAATAATTGGTAATATAAATTTGGCATTTGATGTTAGTAGAATATATATATGTGCGTATATATATATATATATTTGGCGTTTGAGTGGTGAGAGAAGAGGTATGAATCACTGTGGTTTCACTACCTCCCTCCGGTACCATTTCGTAATCTAGCTGGCTTTGGACAGGTTAGTTTGGACGTTTAGAAATAAAAGCCTGTTTTCTTTCGGTTTCCCGGGTAAATTTCATGCAGTCTGATTGTTCGTTCAATATTTTAAACTGCTGATCGATCTCCTCTTGTGTGGAGCAAATCACAAAACGATTATCTTTACGTCTACAGTAGAATAATGGCCAGAAATTGATTGCTGGTGGTTCGATCTTAGACACATAGGCAATGGCAAGGATTTATGCCAGTCGCTTTCCCATTGCCAACTCTCTAATTTGAATCATGAGTTGCTGAATCGAGAAGCCATGTACGCTAATTGCTTGTTGCACAGGAAGTTCGCGGAAGGCTTGCATTGGGGAGTAATTCGTCACGTTAGTGTAGAGCGCGGTACCGTCGAAGTATTCCGCAACGTACGCGCTGTTTGAACGTGTGTTACGTAGACGATCCAGGAACATTTGGGTACTGGTGAGATTGGCTATTATGTACTCAAGCAACTGAATAACAATTAGATTTATAAACCAAGCTATTCTATCAGCAAACCCGTATACACAACTGATGATGGCCCTAACCCTTAAGGTGGAGGGGTAATTAGACGCCAGATCATCAGAAGATACTAACTTATGAGTTTTGATAAGCAAGTATGAGACTGGTCATCTTGGCACTTCGATCTTAAAATACGAAATGTCTGATAGTTTTAAACCTTCTGCGCTTGCTACTTTGACCTATTCGTTGTTTAATTTTCGATGNTGCTGGTGGTTCGATCTTAGACACATAGGCAATGGCAAGGATTTATGCCAGTCGCTTTCCCATTGCCAACTCTCTAATTTGAATCATGAGTTGCTGAATCGAGAAGCCATGTACGCTAATTGCTTGTTGCACAGGAAGTTCGCGGAAGGCTTGCATTGGGGAGTAATTCGTCACGTTAGTGTAGAGCGCGGTACCGTCGAAGTATTCCGCAACGTACGCGCTGTTTGAACGTGTGTTACGTAGACGATCCAGGAACATTTGGGTACTGGTGAGATTGGCTATTATGTGCTCAAGCAACTGAATAACAATTAGATTTATAAACCAAGCTATCCTATCAGCAAACCCGTATACACAACTGATGATGGCCCTAACCCTTAAGGTGGAGGGGTAATTAGACGCCAGATCATCAGAAGATACTAACTTATGAGTTTTGATAAGCAAGTATGAGACTGGTCATCTTGGCACTTCGATCTTAAAATACGAAATGTCTGATAGTTTTAAACCTTCTGCGCTTGCTACTTTGACCTATTCGTTGTTTAATTTTCGATGTTGACCTTTGAATCCACGGAGGTCCTTCATATGAGGGATCTCAAGCCGGTTAGTCGCGAGGCTACGTGGCGCATTGCCAGGTGTCGGATGAGTGTTAATCGTGGGCGAAAAGCGACCATGGCTTCCCTGAGACGCAGGTGGATTACAAAGGTTGGAGTCTCTATTTCTGCTGCCCCGATTTGACAGCTACTTTCTGTATTTACGAAGCGTATTCACGCACGCATGTATGGGTGCGTTCAAGTTTATGCGAATTGCATTCTAAGAGACAATTCTGCCAAAAACCTGTAATAAAGTGATAGAAAAATATATGGGAAGCAGTTAAGAGTCGCCTCCAATAAATAAGCTCCACATCCACTCTCAGAGAGACTGGCAAGCCATCCGAGTATACCCAGCTCCACGTTCAAAGCCCAGCAAACTATACGTGGGTACATCCACACGATAACAAGACTCATTGAAGTAGTATCGCAAGAATACACTCTGTCTGACTTTCATTGATTTAAAGAAGGCCTTTGACCTAATTGAGAGAGTCGCAGTCATGGAAGCCCTTGATAGTCAAGAAACCACTACTCAGTATATAAAGATTCTTCGTGAGCTGTACAAAAATTTCAACACCAAGATATCACTATTCTGCAACGATATCAACATTGACGTCAAAAGAAGAGTTAGGCAATGCGGTATCATCTCGCCAAAATTATTTACCGCCACCCTCCAGAACGCCGTGTGAACATTGGAATTGGATAATATGGGAGTGAAAATCGATGTTCGGCAGTTACATTATCTTCGCTTTGCTGATGACATCGTCCTTATAACACCAAGCATTAGCCAAGCGGAACGTATGCTTGCCGACAATGATAGAGTCCGTGGAAAGATTGGTCTTCAACTAAATCTCACAAAAACGATGTTCATGAGGAACGGATTGGTTTCGTATGCTCCATTCACGCTCAACGGAAAAAATATCCCCGAGTGCTCCATTCACGTCGATCTAGGTTGGATAGACAACATGAAGAATGGCTTAGCTCCAGAGTTGTGCAGAACGAAACGATCGGTTTAGGAAGCTTTCAAGAGCATCGAGGATATAGTGAAGAGGACAAAGAACACCCAACTTCGTGTCCACCTTTTCTACTCAATGGTGCTTCTTGCTTTAACGTATGCATCAGAAACCTGGTCGCTGCGTAAGCAGGATGAAAGTTATCAGCGTTATCGAACGCGCAGTCGAAAGGACGATGCTAGGAGTATCCCGTTTCACACAAGTAGGAGAAGGGATCAAAGGCTTCGAGCTGCGTCAACGGTCAAAAATCAAAGACGCCGTTCTGTACGCCAAACAGTCGTAGATAAGGTGGACCGGACACGTAATCCGTATGAATAACAACCGATGGACAAGAGCCGTTAGTCCGTTAGTGACTGGATTCCTCGAGATGTCGAACGTACTGGGGGATGACCATCAACGCGATGGTGAGAGTTCTTCACCAAAACGTTGGAAGAACGGTGTGATGCTCGAAGAGTCCCTAGAGCGAGCAGAAGGCACTGGGCTACCCTTGCACGCGACAGGGTAAAATGGAAGATTTACTGGCGCCCACTCGACTCACTAGGCGATCAGCGGGACTACAAGTGATACAGGTGTGAGAATCTTAGGTGATCAGTCAAACCACTGTCATCAATAGATGAAGACCTTTGTTGTGTTTCAAAAACTCTTAATACTTCTTCGGTAACTAAGATATTTGAGGAGCTAGGAATTTCACAGAGTTATATGGAACAAAATTTCCTTTATAGCTCCATTCAACTTTTCAATAATGTTGGTTTCTTTTTCAACTTTATTCGTGAACAACAAAGGAGTTTCAACGAGGAAATCACGTTGTGCTGTTTGATGGAAATAAAGGAAAATTTAATCTTAGTGTTATAAAAACCTAATTAGAAAATCTTAACCCTTTTATTTACTGCGTTTTCCTTTTTAATGGCAGGGTATGTTGCGAAATATAACTCGTATATAATACTGAGATATTTGCAAAACTCCGGACCGCAGGTGTATGCGGTGGGGAACACGCCCTGTTGTCCTTACCGGGGAACAGCGCACTTCACCACCACACCATCCGTCCTGACAGGCAGAACGAAGGACCCTGATGGTGTGGTGGTGAAGTGCGCTGCTCCCCGGTAAGGACAACAGGGCGTGTTCGTTCCCCACCGCATACACCTGCGGCCCGGAGTTTTGCAAATATCTCAGCATTATATACTAATTAGAAAAGTTCTATTTGATCCTGTTCAAATCACCAGAGTTTGCTATGAACTGTGATGTGCCGGTGAAAAGTTGAACTATTACCCAGTTAATAAAGGATAAAGAATAAAGCTCTCCGCGTTGATCATTCCCCAAGGGATGCGCCATGCGTTCGACTTCATTAAGCATCGTTCGGAGGTGATTGAGTGCATATCTGGCTTTTATAGTGACTCGCGGTGGCATACCAATGTATCGAGTCAGTGCTGCTATCCTCCCAGACAAGTCTGGTACTAATTTGCCAACCGCGGAGTGATGGAAGGCTTGGCAGACCATGGGCGCGGGGATCGATTCTCCGTGTGTTGCAGGGCGCCTCTAACCACTGCATCACACGCGCTAATCATTTCCCGGTGACGTAGTAATAATCGTGGGCATAACTAGGCGTGGTGAACAATGGAGTGATTCATCACATTGTTTGCAAAGGAAAGAATAATCAGCGATAAGAGCCAAGAAGCAGTAAAGGATCAGCTGAGTTGTGCGAACAAAAGTTGGAAGTAAATCACTATGTGTAAACATACTGATGAATGCCAATCTCTTCAACATAAGAAATAATCATAAAGCGTTGAGTACTGGTCGCTCCATGAAGGATATGCCATAGATTTGACGTCATCAAGCTTCGTTAGAGGTGAATGAATGCAAATTTTGCCCACACGATGAGAACAGTGCACTATCGATGTATCAAATCAATGCTTCTAAATCTCCCAAATAGCTTGATGAGCGCAGGGCGCTGGGTCGAACCAAGATTTGGTGCGTATTGTTGTAGGACATCTTTAACCACTGCACTACACGCACTGTTTTTCCCACAAATAGTTTTGTTAGTAGTTTAAACTCGCAATGCGTTTTGTCTATACCGTTCTCGTCAATTATCTGCTATCTTATCGGAAGGAAAACGTATCCATAGCTGTTGAAACTCTTCACCAGCAATCATCTCTATCCGAAAGACAGATTTTTAAGGTAACAAGCATAGAGGACAACTTTCAGCTCTAATGGGTAGAACAGCGGTCTGCATTGGATGCGCTATTGATCGGATAGAAGAAGGACAACAAAAATCCTCTAAACAACAAAATAAACAAGCACACAAAATTAATTGTTACCAACTCACGCCGCCTCTATCATTCTAGATATTTTGAAATTCACTTGGTTCTAGCTCCAACTGCTAATTCTGCTGTAAGCTCTTGCTTGTTTTTTGCATAGCACTGCTTGAATATTACCGCTCAGTAGCTCGTTGATTGTTGCAGAACGTCCCCATCGATCCTCACTTTAAGCGCAACTTGTGGGATGCACTACATGAAATATATTGTTGAAGAAAGGTGAAAAAGGTATTTCACCCAATGTTTTTCCTTTTCAATAGTTTGTTTTTCCACATGCAGATTTTTTGGACTTCAGAGTGGCTCCCTGTTCGCAGAGTGTGCTTTCAACACCGTGATTCAAATCCTCAGAAGCAGCCACGAAACCTTATTGCGAGAACCTTCTACTGATATTTCTAAATGTTCTATGTAGGAAAATTTGTTTTACAATCCGCATTTCACATGAAGGTAATCTACAAATCCTACATAGAATTTAAAAATTAACAACCTTCAATTACCAATAAAGGCTCTTGCTTTGAACCAACGAGCTTCACATACATTTTGCCATTTTTACACAGATGCAGGTTCGACTCTCCACCAGTCTCACCAAACCTCCCTCCTGGATCTAGGAATTCAATTGGAAACCGATTGTAGTGGTCTATCTGGCTTTCTCCAATCCACGTAATAACACTTTAGCTCGTGTGTCCTAAGCACACGCGAAATGATTGAGGACCTTCGTGCATTACGGATGCGAGGAAACGAATCGAATGCAGTAAGGGCCGGAACTCCACAAGTGAATGTGACGCGGAGTCATTTAAAAACATTT